AAATAATTAATTCATTCTTGAAATATGAAAAATCAATTATTTTGGACCACAAGAAAAAGGCCAAAAAATTACTTATTTTGGACCGGAGGGAGTACCGAAGTAGCCCATGCAAATACTTATTTACACAAAAGGGCAAAAAACATGAGGAAATCATGAATGTATATTACAGGAGTGATTTTATTTTGTGTCTCACACAATTTACACTAGTTGTATGAGGCCTCTTTTTATCTCACATATTTATGGACCCATCTCTTACACATCTGGGTCCACTAAATTCTGGAACCACACAGTTATGAAATAAAAAAGAGGCATCACACAACTATTGTCAGTTGTGTGAGACACAAAATAAAATTTTTCTATATTACAGCAGTAGAATCTACAGAAGCAGAAAATCCGCAGCTTCAATTCGTGCTATAGACATTCCGGAGTAAAGAACATGGACCCCACTATAAGTAGGAAAGTGGAGCCCACTAAACCGCCACCCTAACAAGTCATAGGTGACCAAACTCCCCACGCTTTCGTCTTTCACACAGTAGACGACGACGACTTTCTCCCCCCAACACCATTTTACCCCAAATAAAACACTACAAATGGAAGCAATGCAAATCTTCAACAGGTTCGAACTAGTCAACCCAATTGTTTTATTTCCTTTCTCAAATTTCCCCTTTATCTCCTTGCCTTTTCTCTTTTCTTTGTTTATCCCTGTATATATATATACACATATAAAGAACCAGTCTTTTCTGTTTCTCCTATAATACAAAAATGGCTAATTCTTATACAAGTTTTAATTTTTTCCTTGCCCCTATTATTTTCTTGGCGATTCTGGGATTACAGCTGCAGAGCAGCGATGGGTTTGGGACATTCGGGTTTGATATCCATCACCGGTATTCGGATCCGGTGAAGGGTATTTTGGACCTTCATGGATTGCCTGAGAAGGGAAGTGTTGAGTATTATTCAGCTTGGACTCAGCGTGATCGCTTTATCAAAGGTCGCCGCCTTGCTGATACAACTAATCCCACTCCTCTCTCTTTTTCAGGAGGAAATGAAACTTTCCGCCTCAGTTCTTTGGGATTGTAAGCTCACTCTATTTTTCTTTTCTGATTGCTTTTTGCAGTTGTTTATTTGCTGCTCTGGTTCTTTTTTTTTTTTTTTTTTGGTTATTCCTGATTGTGAACTACTAGTACGTTTTTGGAAATTCTTGTTTACTGTCTTTTACTTTTGTCCGTTTGGTGTGATGTTAGAGTTGACTGAGCTTTACGTTTGTTTTTGTCTGTTTAGTTGGATGTCAGTTCAGGAAAAATAGGTTACCTAACTTAAATAAATTCCATGTACCATTAATGGTTCTAACGAGATTCAAGTGGAGGAAAATATGATAAAAAAAAGAAAGATTTAGGCCTGTTTCTGTTCTTTAATTCTGTTTGTGTGTTTGATTGTACTGGAATTTTGTCGATATCACTACTATATAAAATATTGACTCTAAATTTGATTTTACTTTCCTTCTAGTTCGAATTCTAAGCTCCGGAAATAAATTCATTTTTTTTTTCTTTTGATTTTCCCCTCCTCTTCTGCCACTTAACTTTTCTTCGGACAAAGAATTGTTGTGAAGTTTCTGGCAGTAGCATGTTGTAATTTATATGTTGTAAAGACAGAGTTGCATGAAAAATCTGTAGTATCTGTAGTTGCGGTTTTTTTCCTTCTAAAGGTGTGTGACTAATACTCTTTGCCGATTTGCAGTTTGCATTATGCAAATGTGACAGTGGGCACTCCTGGGCTATCATTTCTAGTGGCACTTGACACTGGCAGTGACTTGTTTTGGCTACCCTGTGATTGCAGCAATTGTGTGCGTGCCCTCGAGACACGCTCTGGACGAGTATGTTTGCTTCATTGCAGTACCTTTTTCTTTCTACTTTCAAATGTTTAAAGAGTTTTTCTTTTTCGATGATCATCCTCGTCTGTATATTGCCTTCTGCTACAAGGAAGATGATCATCCTCGTCTGATAACCTTTTTCAGAAAGGAAGCTGCTGATAACACAATGGCTGAATCTGTAACACAGTGGATTTCTCTTCAACTGTCTTTTTCGGTCATTGTGACAATAATATATTCTCTTAGTTAACAAGATAAAAGATATGGGCTGGAGAATATATTGAGGAAATTATTTTTCTGTTTAGGAAGATACATAACTAGCGCAAAAAAGATGATTTCAACATAATCAATATTTGCAAAGTGAGTTTGATGCATGTAATATATTGACTCTGAAATGAAATTTCTGATCCATATTGTTCCGTGGCTTGTTTGTCATTGAAGAATTTTGAGATTCTTATTAGCTCAAGTACTTCATACTCACCTTCAGGAACAAAATTTTCTTTGCTCTTTTGCCTTTTCCGTTTAATGTTTCTTTATGTATTATTTGACACTTATAATCCTTTGTTTGCTTTGAAACAGCGAATAAATCTCAATATTTACAGCCCTAATACGTCGTCAACGGGTCAGATTGTTCCTTGCAACGGCACTCTGTGTGGACAAAGGAGACGATGCTTATCTTCACAAAATGCATGTGCTTATGGAGTTGCATATCTCTCCAATAATACCTCATCATCAGGGGTACTGGTGGAAGACATCTTGCACTTAGAGACAGATAATGCTCAACAAAAAAGTGTTGAGGCTCCAATTGCTCTAGGGTGGGTATGGTTTGAGAGAAATGCTGTGTAATTTGGATGCAATCTTTAACCACCATGATGTTTATTTTCTACTTGTTCAATTTCAGGTGTGGGATAAGACAAACCGGTGCATTTTTAAGTGGCGCTGCTCCTAATGGTCTATTTGGACTTGGCTTGGAAAGTATATCTGTTCCGAGCATGTTAGCAAGTAAAGGTCTTGCTGCAAATTCTTTCTCCATGTGCTTTGGCCCTGATGGTATTGGAAGAATAGTGTTTGGAGATAAAGGGAGTCCAGCCCAAGGAGAAACACCACTCAATCTTGATCAACTACAGTAAGCAAGTCACTTTGATATTCTGGGTTTAGCGGTTGCTTCTGTTTCTGGCTTGATTTAGGAGAATGCGACTGAATATGTATTAACTCTTACCCTTTCCTGAATTGCAGCCCAACTTATAACATCAGCTTGACAGGAATAACAGTGGGAAACAAGATCACTGATGTTGATTTCACAGCCATTTTTGACTCTGGCACCTCATTCACATACTTGAACAACCCAGCTTACAAAGTCGTTACAGAGAACGTGAGTGACAGGCTGACTGTATGATTTGTTAGTTGGGAGTTTGTTCTTTTTATTGTAAAACTGAAGATATTTTGTTTCTTTTTTCAGTTTGATTCTCAAGCAAAACAGCCACGCATTCAACCTGATGGAGAAATTCCTTTTGCATACTGCTACGGGCTAAGGTGAACCATCTTTTATAATCTTCATCACTTTTACTTTCTTGATGTCCTTTGAACTCTAAGGATTAACGTGCTACATTTTGCAGTGCAAATCAAACTACCTATGAAGTTCCTGATGTAAATTTGACCATGAAAGGCGGCAACCAGTTTTTTCTTTTCGATCCGATAATATTGCTCTCGCTCCAGGTAAGATGGTTTCTGCTCCTTTTAAATTACAGAGGTTCTCTTTTAGAATATTCTAATATAGAGGCATGATCATCAGGATGGTTCTGGCGCATATTGCTTAGCTGTTGTCAAAAGTGGGGATGTCAACATCATTGGACGTAAGTATCTATCAGTTGCTCATGAGATTTTGTATCTATCCATGGATTCTGCAATATAACTTGCACCATGCTATCTAATTAGAACTTTTGGTTCTTATGGATCTCTCGAGTCTTTACATCCTTTTAGTTTATGTCTAATTGGAAATGTAATGTGACAAAGTAAACTAGTAAAATTCAAGTGTATAACCAACTTGTAAAACTGGTTATGTTGTCAGAATCTGAGCTACTTGTTGATTTACTTGGATTTTGTCTCTGTATTTGGAATTTATGACAGAAAACTAATACATGGATCTTTTTGCAGAAAATTTTATGACAGGCTATCGCGTGGTTTTCGACCGGGAGAAGATGGTTTTGGGTTGGAAACCTTCCGATTGTGAGTTTGCATTCCTGAGTATGACCTTTTTAGTCTGCGCACCTGCTCATATTTTAACTAGAAACCTTTCTTGGCAGGTTATGATTCTAGAGAATCCAACAACAAATCGACAACTCTGCCAGTGAACAAGCGTAATTCTACTGAAGCGCCTTCGCCCGCCAGTGTGGTCCCAGAGGCCACCAAGGGAAATGGAAGTGGAAATGAACCCGCTACTTCGTTTCCATCTGCTCCATCAACTAGACCTGCAGCAAACCATGCACCAACACTTTTCAATTCCTACATTTGCCAACTTATGATGGCTGTGTTTTCCTTTTTTAGCTATTATTTGATCATTATTTCTTCATGAGGCTTTTTATTGCCCTTTGTATAATATTGAGCTCTGTTAAATGATCGCATAGAATTGAAGTAAGCACAGCATTTTTTATATTGCTGTTTATACTTATTTGTACTGTAAATATAACTCATTTCTTTGTTCATTTTTTTTTTTAAGGTTTAAAGACCTTTCTTATATTAAAACACCCCGGTAAAGGGTATTTTCTTCTTTTGGTTACGTATGACCCTTGAAATTAAAGCAAACAACTGCATGACCTAACGGTCAACGAAGCGAATAAAACCATGAGAGATTAGGGTTTATATCCCACCAGAGACAAAACAACAAAATGTTGGTGAGGAAGTAACAGGTGTATCTGATGAAATGGACTGTGTGCTTGTGCTTGTGCTTGTGCTTGTGCTAGAAAAATGATCCATGAAGTTGTGCTGTGCTAGTTTTAGTCTACCTTTGCTTTTTAAGCAGACTTTAGCACAGTAATCAGAATCCTCTGAAGCTGGTCAAAGAAAATACTTAGGAGGAAGTCATTGCATTTTCAATCTTGGACGAGCAAAGAGGAATTATATCGAATTTACAGTTAAGTAAAGCAAAAATCTGTAAAATTGTATAACGTCCAATTGTGTAACAGTAACACGGTAAAACAATAACGGATGATATTCAAAAAATTACTGGCCCACGACCTTAACTTAGACCTTAGAGTAACAAATAGGGGCAATCAGAAAATAAAAGAAGTTACATATTGAGATTCACTGCGTCCACTATTCACCCCATACTGAACCACCATTCACCTTCACAGGCCTTGTGTCTACTACCATGGGAAGTCAGAGAGCACGATTTATACCTCTTACTTCTCGCTCTCTTTCTTGCCTCGCTCTTCATCCTTCTTCTTTGCCCTTGCTAGACTTTTTTCATTCTTCTCGCTCTCTTATTTTCCTCACTCTTCATCGATCTTCTTTGCCCTTGCTCGACTTTTTTCATTCTTTTTTACCACCTTAACAGAGGGCAATGATATTTGCTTTGATTTCATCTTAATGGATTTAACCAAGGAAGATAGCTCATGCTTCTCCTTTCTTGAAGACAAATCATCCGGCTGCAACTTTTCACTTGTTACTGCCTCTAATGTGCTGGATGGCTGCAGTGGTGCAGCTATTCCCGGCTGTTGTTTTGTCTTCATGATTTCTTCTTCGGCCTTGTGTTGCTTTTGCGCCAGCTGACGAGCATAAGCTGCACTCCTGCAACAACCAAAATAGATACCGTAAGCAAATGAAAAAAGCAAGCAGGGTTTTCTTTTTATTGGGAATTCGGATAAATGCCAGGCCAGTTTTTTAATTTTATTTTTTATACACGAATAGGAAATTGGTGCGAACAAGAAGATGGGAAATACCGTTTGAACTGAGGATCTGTGGGGTCCAATGCGAAGAGTGGTGACTTGAAGAGAGATGAAAACCGTGGATCTTCATAATCGATACTTGGTAACTTGTCCTCATTTGGAAGTTCTTTACCCTTCTTCCCCTTTGCCTTTTTAGGTTTCATGTTGTAACCCTTCAAGTTAGCATCTCCTCCCTTGTCATCTGCAAGTAATAGCTCAAGCTCTGCTCTACTTGCCTCAGCTTCTTCGGATGCTTCAACGCTCTGCTTCCCTTTCCTGGTGCTCTGATGTTGGGAATCCTTGGAAGGCTCTTCTATGAAAAAGTCCTCAGGTTCTTCTATAGGTTCTTGATCACTATCGCTGGTCTCATCGTCTGATGAATCCTTGGACTTACCTTTCCTGGCCTTCTTTTTCTCTCTTTTCTTTCTGAGAACAGCTTCCCATACAGTTTCCGACTGTTTATCCTTCTTTTCTAGGATACGTTTGCTTAGATCTTCCAAGCCAGTGTTAAACGTGACCTCCATGTCCTGATCATCGTCCTCATTATTTCCATCCGAACCCTCCCCAGACTGGAGAAGTGCACGGTACCTATCTTGTTTTTTCTTCTTTTTGGCAGATTTATCTTCTGTGTCATCACCTTCCTCACTATCATCACTTTCACTCTCATCAGAAGCCAAAAATTCTTTCAACTCCATATCTGCCAGCTGCCAAAAAAGAAACCACATCAAATAAAGAACAATCAATCGCCTTGAGGAAAAGAAACAAGGTGACAAACATGAGGATTTTTCAAATAAGCAACACATTAAAATCTTAAAAGCCCAAAAAAGAATATCCCTGATATTGGCAAGTACAACACAACCTTATCAGCAGACATAGATAGCGACATACTAACACAGATAACCACATGAAACACCTGTACGTAAAAGCAAGCATGTGCACCCAATATCATTAAAGAAAAACAAACAAAGTAAGAGGTGCCTGAAAATCTTCTTGCACTTGCTCATCTCAGCAAGAAAACTGGTTTGATAAAGTTAAGTTTCCCGCGGACATACAGAACTAAAAGACACATAAGCACAAATTACAACAAATAAGAGTTAACCTGGTCGGCATTGAATTTTCTCTTCAAGGTCCTGATGCGCTGTGGCTCATCCTCATCCCATGTAAGTTCAATATTGCTGTGCTGCAGAGCTCGAGTGTGAAAGTCTAGACCTTCATAATCTGCAGGGGCCTAAGTATCAAAAGACATCAATAATTAATCACCTAAACGATCATCTTGGTTTCTTCCCCCTTTTAAGAGAATAGTATTCTAGCAGGTAAAGTTAAGCAGACAAGAAAGCTTTACTTAATCCCTAAAGATGCAAAAGAGAAATGTTAGCAACAAGAATTACATATGCCTTCAGAATATTAATTTGTAAAGAACTGTAGCTCTCAGAAAGTGAAATATCACCTCCCCTCATCCCAAAAAGCAACCGAGAAAGAAGGAAAATATGCTTTATTCTAACCATGGGGACATGGAGTTGTCAGACTTCTCACGCACGAAGCAGAGAGAAAAATAGCGGCGCCGAAGAAAAACATGCTATTCATCATTTTCCTTGGCAGGAGAGTGATCTCGGAACTAAAAGGCAAACATGCAAGCACACAATTAGATCACTTTTTTATTTGATAAATGTGTTGTACGGACCAGCTTGCACACCTGCACTAATTCCACAGGTACTTGCTACCTCCGCTCAACGCAGGTACCGGTGACTCTGCCCACTAAGGCTTGGACAGAAGGAAGAATCACCTAGTATTTTTGCCTCCACATGGATTTGAACCTGAGACCTCATGGTTCTCCACCCACTTCATTGACCACTAGGTCACACCCTAGGGTGCAATAGATCTTTTTTTTTTTCATTTGATGAAAAGGTAAACAAGCAGATAACTTAGCATGTCGAAAAACTCGAAACTATAATATACTCAATAACAATCAATGAACACAAATGTGATTAGATTTTGTGTTTTCAGCCAGTAATAGCCGTGAAAACTAAAGACCCCCATGATGACAAAGCGATGCCATAAATTACCTCTGTTGCAATATCACGTGGTTGATGCTTGAATTCCATAGAGTCTGGAATAAACCTCAAATCTAATTTGTTTGATGTTCTTTCGAACTCAACCCCGTCGCAAGTTTTGTAAAGGTAATCTGCTGTAGCGCTTGAATCACATTCCACCACAGCGTAATAATACCTGCATAATACAAAAGAAGCAACTTTAAAAAGAGACCCATGGGAGATATAATTAAAGATGGAGAAATTATGGAACACAGAATAGAGGAGCATAAGGGAAAAAGGAGAAGAAGAAACAGAATAAATTTCATAAAAGGTTTAGCAATAAGTTATCAGTTTTGGTCACCAAAAAGTGCAGAAATCACTCAAAGATACATGATTCAGGGGAAAAAACAGAACCATATTGTCACCTGAGCCGACTCATTTCATAAGCACGTAATTTCTCATTGTCAATCTCATCGTTATCATCATCATCACTGTCTTCATTTTTTCCATTTTCATCATCAAATAGGCCGACTGGACCATGGACAGCCTCCTCTTCCATACGCTTGAGTCCAAACTCAGATGGATAGACAGCAACAGATATTATTTGACCCCCTTTCGGGAGGAAGGAGCTCAATAGCATATACAAGTCAATTGCCTACATAAATAACCACTTAACTGAGAAGAGAACTTGATAGCTCAAATAGAAGTACATCATCAAGGGGTAGTTTGATTAATGGCTAGTTATAACATGGATTATAATACAAGGTTTTTATGCGGAGAATAACAATGCAGGGATATTGCTGTCCAGTGATAATAATTATTGTACAGGGATTCCCTACTTTAAGGGAATCTGTTTCCTTTAGATATTCTAATCCAGGTATTGCTAGAAGATATATTATTATTTCACATACTATTTTCACAAAAATTATGCAGAGTTTAATACTGAAAACTAAACAATACATTATATACAGAGATTTATACCATAAAGGTTCAATAGATCACATTAGTTAGAGATCTGTGCTGCAAACCAAACAGCCCCTTATAATTCAAATTGAGGCGCAATCCACATTTTTACCAATGATGAAATCGAGGTGCAGTCTACATTATGACCACGGCAGGGTAGATATAACTCTTATGGTCTCAGGATGTAACAGCTAATTAGTATCATACATTTTAAACAAAATGCATGAACTCACAGGCAGTCTCCCATATAGTCTGACTATCTTCTATATAATTCTTTTATTTTGTAAGCTCAACCAGAAAAGATATTTTTTTTTGCCTGCAACTCCGTATTTGCAGAAGTCCAACAAATGAATTTCAAAGCTAATCAATACTTCTATGCAATGCACCAGTTCATAGCTTCTTTTTTTTTATCGGCTGCACCTGTTCATAACTAGTTTATGTTCACAATTGAATGCTCAGCACAATCTCTTAACAATATTCTCCAGTATCAAGAAATGCACAAGCTGTTATTCTAAACTCTCTTCATGACACATTAAGACAAACCTAGTAAATGGTCACGGAAAACTGAACCAAACAAATACTCCTCCCAAACAATTCAACACGCTGCAGGTCAATTTTTTTGATAATAGGATTAGTCTAAGCAATTACAATTACAGTGTTTTTATGCAAAGCAATAATAATTACCATATAAGAAACAAAAGTTCCATAGTTGACACCTTCTAGGAAAAATTCAAGTTTGCATATTGAAAAAAAGGAAAACAAAGAAGGTACCTTTACTCTACCCCAATCCATGTTAACAATTGCAAGCCTCTTAGTTTCCTTGTCAATTTCAGGCACATCCTCTTTCTGCTTCCACCAAAAGAAAATTTTGAAAAGATCATTAATGCAACTTAAAATCCAAATTCCATACCCCAACATAAAATTCTCTCTTTTTTCATTGTATGTATACCTGCACGAAAGTATCTTCCTCCTCTGAGTAAACCTCATCCATTTCATCATCAGAATCAGAATCTGAAGAAGAATCTTCCGTACTTGCCAATGAATCATCACTTTCCACCTCCTCATCTTCCTCTTCTTCGGACTCTGATGATTCGGCGCCAACTTTCTTCAATTTATGTTGCTCAATTTCTTCCTCACTCGTCCCGCTCTCACTCTCACTTACTTCTGCATCTTCTTCTTCGCTTTCAGGTTCTTTAACCTTTGATTTCTCTTTCTGCTTCCTCTGTTTTTCACCCTCTTCTTCTTCTTTCTCGAGATGGTAATAATGGTTTAGAGGGTTTTTTCTAGAGGAGGAGGAGGAATTAACGGGTCTGCCTCTTATATCAGTAGGCGCTTTCGATGATGCGAAGTTTTTGTCTGTGAACATACGGTTAAACCGAGAATCAATTGTCACTTTCGACTTTTTCTTGGGCGGCTCGCGAAATCTGGGGTCCGAATGTAACGCCGCAAATCGAGAATCATTGATGATTCTCTTCTCAGTTCTATTTCCGCCGCCGCTTTCATCTCCGGCAGCGGTGGAGGTAACGGCCGGCCTTTTTCCCTTTTTGCTCTTATCTTTGTTTTGGGACCCCATGAGTACGTTCTTCTTCTAGCTAAACCCTAAAACCCCGCATGTTATTACAGACCATATAACAGAGGAGGAAGAAGAAGGAGAAGACGACAGTGTTAATCGGGCTGATGGATATTTAGAGCCCAATAGTCAGTCCAATGACTACTTGACGACCCAACCCAAATACTTAATCAAAATCTAAAAAGTTGCATAAATATGATACTTTTTGGGTGGTCTTTAACTTTTGACCCTGTCTGCCTAATAAGCATAATTTTAAGGTCAAAAATTAAAAAAATATTGCTTATGGGACAAGCAAAGGGTAACACTTATTAAACTTGAAGTTCTGCATCAAAGGGTAACACTTATTAAACTTGAAGTTCTGCATCAAAGGGTAACACTTATTAAACTTGAAGTTCTGATGGACAAAGTGGGGACAAAATTTCAAGATCATCCATTTTGAGATAGGGGTAGGCATTCGGTATTTCAGTTCGGTATTTCGATATTCGGTTTATCAATTGTGTATACCAAATATTATATTCAAGTAGTTTGGTATGGTTCGGTATTTCTTATTTTAGTTCGATACGGTTTCGGTTTGATATATTAACGGAATCATTTACAAACGTGAATAGATGATATAAATGGAGAGTGGACACACTGTGCTAAGCTAGCAGGCTGTATGAAGTATTTCACATATGAGAAATGCCTCAAGGAACACATAGAGAGTTGCCACCAGCATATTGTATGTGAAATATGTGGAACCAAGCAATTAAAGAAGAATATCAAGCGGCATCTCCGCAAGCATTTCACAATGAGAAATGCGGAGGGAATAAAATGTGAAATCCAGGATTGTCAGCACACTTTCTCCGCGGTAAGGGACTGCTGCATTTTCTTTTATGTAAATAAAGTTCCTTTCTCATAATACATAACTTAATCTAAGCAAGGGGGCTTGGCGCTTGGGTATTACTATTAGGCTTAGGTTTATTGGGCTGGAAAATAAAAATAGAGGTTTTCTTGGACTTAAATATTTCGCATTTCGATATATTGAAATATTAAAAACGCAATACCGAGTATTGTACCAAAATACCGAAAAATCTATACCAAAGAATACGAAATACGAAAAAAACGATACGAAAATACTAAATTAATTTGGCTCGATTCGGAATTCGATTTTTCAGAATTTATGCCACTCCTACTTTGAAACCATCAAAATCCATCACATGTTGATGTGCACAAATAGCCGTTTTTTAGATCCCAATCTAAAGAATAGCCGACATTTTTAGACAATACAAGTGTAGTTTTAGATTTTAAAATGTCAAAACGAATTCAGCTTGAGAGGATACTTACGAAATGCAAGATCTATTCACTGACTTCTTTAGTAAGTAGGAACTTGAAATTTATGGAAATAATTAGGATAGTTCAAAGTCATGAAAAATTATCAGATTACACATAAATGAGTTGTATAAAATGCACCACTTGCTCATCTACAAGTTGGCAGAAGCAATACTAATTTAGGAGAGGGGCATCTCTTCGAACAGCCAAGGCATAATATTAGGTTTTGAAGCACGTGCACCCAAAATCAGCGTTGGAAAAATGACATTGTACAGTCGCTATAAAAATATATAAATTTTGTATATTTTTTATATATATATACATTCTGTATGTTATATACAAAAATTATACAACTTTTATACACTTTTTCGGCTAGCAGATGTAAATAGTTTCTGGCGCAAGCTAAAAGTGATAATACCTCATCAGAGTTCTATTAGGCTTGCTAAAAAAGAGTTTAACAGTGAATAATTTTTTTAATGCCGTCAAGATAAGATACCTATAACAGCTAACTGTCTATAGTAACTCCAACTTAAGTAATAATGTACATAACATGTTTTAATCGTTTAAATTAACTAATATTATAAATTTATTTATTCTCAATGTATATCTATCTGTATATGAGTTAAATCTCTGCTAAGAAATAATAGGAGAGTTGCTAATACTATTTCTGAAAAGCCAGCTTGCATTCCTAACTACCAATCACATCACTATTGCTATATTCCTGACTCGTCCTTTCGCCAAATTATGGTAACTAACCAAAATCAGTCTTAGATAACAAGCCATAATAACATGCAAAACAGTTTTGATGTTTCAATCTCAACTACTTTACCAGTAATGTCTATTATTAAAGGGGAAATAGTTTTTTCTTTTTCTTCTTTTTTTTTTCCTTAAAAAAGAGTTAAATTCATATATTGGAAGCTCCAAGAAATTCTCTTTATTTTCTGCTTAACGTTCTTTTCTCCTGAAAACAGTACTATAAATTTTAAGATTACTGAAGTTCAAGAAAATTCTCATCCATTTTTTAAATGAACATAAAAGTTAGGCACTGACGGCAATGTTTAAAATGAAGAAAAGAAAGAACAATTAATGTCTTAGTATGCTTCAAAAACACTCAATTACCAAATTCACTGTTAGAGCTAACATTTCCAATTTTCAACTCCAACAATCATTCTACAATCTGTCCCTATCTTTCAGAACATCTCTATATATATCCTTGTAATTTTTTTAATCTTCAGCACAAGTCAACTGATTGTTACCACTTAGGAATTACAATCTTTAATTTGCAGGATTTAGTTAGCTAGAACTGAAGCTATGTCACCCTCTTCTGCATTCTTGTTCAGCTCATTACTAGTTTTGTCCTTAATTTACTCTCATGGAAATGCACTTAGTTCAAATTACTATGAGAACTCATGCCCTCAAGTTGAAGATATTGTCACACAGGTTATTACTGAAGCAACAAAGAAAGACAAAACTGTCCCTGCTGCCCTTCTTAGAATGCACTTCCATGACTGTTTCATAAGGGTATTTTCTTTTTGCATTATTCTCTTATGTCATTCTCACCTTTTTTAAGAACAGGCCTGATAATACTTTTTACTATTCGTTCTGGGTCTTTTTTTTAAAATTTATTTCCCACAGGGATGCGATGCTTCGGTGCTACTGAACTCGAAGGGGAAGAACACTGCAGAAAAAGATGGTCCTCCAAATGTTTCTTTGCATGCATTCTACGTCATTGATAATGCAAAGAAAGCTGTAGAAGCCGTTTGCCCAGGAACAGTCTCATGTGCTGATATCTTAGCCTTTGCTGCCCGAGATGCAGTTGTCATTGTAAGCAAACATGCATTGCTCCAGCAGAACATAAAAAAAAAAAAAACTTTTACTTACAAGTGCATGTTAATTCTTTTTGATAATGAGTGCCAATTATACGATTTCTCAGGATTTTTGCTTATTCTAATATCATGTTAAATTGTGTAACCATCTTTTCGGGATTTTTGCTTATTCTACATTATTTTCCAATAACTTGCGTTGTAATATTATTATTACATGCAGTCTGGTGGACCTTCATGGGACGTGCCTAAAGGAAGAAAAGATGGAAGAACATCAAAAGCTAGCGAAACTAGACAACTACCAGCTCCCACTTTTAACATGTCTCAACTTCAACAAAGTTTCTCTCAAAGAGGATTATCATTGGAAGACCTTGTTGCTCTCTCAGGTCATGTACACTAACGATTACATAATAAATATATAACTTATATACGTTTCACTATCAGTGTATTTTAACTTATCGTAGCATATAATATATGTCTTGTTTTTTAGCTAATAATTGACAAACAATGTGTCTCCAAATCTGCAGGTGGACATACTTTAGGTTTCTCTCATTGTTCATCCTTCAGTAACAGGATACACAACTTCGATTCCACCCAAGATGTTGACCCAACATTACATCCATCCTTGGCATCAACCTTAAAGGGAATTTGTCCACTTAAAAACAGGGCAAAGAATGCTGGAACTACCATGGATCCTTCCTCAACAACGTTTGATAATTCATATTACAAGTTAATTCTACAGAACAAGAGTCTGTTCTCTTCAGACCAAGCTTTGCTCAGTATTCCCAAGACTAAAACTCTGGTTTCTGACTTTGCTAGCTCAAAAGAAGCTTTTTTTAAAGCTTTTGCTAATTCCATGATCAAAATGAGTAGCATAAATGGAGGTCAGGAGGTTAGAAAGGATTGTAGGGCAGTTAATTAATCCTACGAAATTAATGATAATCCAGAAAAGTGTTTGGTCTCAGTTTGTTTCCTTATAATTTTCTGATTTCTTTTAGCAGCTTATCCAGAGCACTTTTTAAGTGGTATAGGATTTTCAATGGGCAGAGCTTTTATCAATCTCATTATAAATGTATCAATTTGTATTTTGTAAGTTACTATGAATGAATCATCCAGCCTTAGGGTTTGTGGCATGTCTATCAGTATATGGTTCTTTCTGTTACGGAATTTAAGATAATGCATGTCTTTTGGTGGAGAAAACTTCTTCATTTTCGATCTTTATATCAAACCAATCCACATCATTCGTGTCTTTCATATGCGCTATTACACCTTTAGCACTAATCATGGTTAATTAATTTATAGTATCACCTCAATCTACTACTTAATTATAATAAATTAATATAATCTGGTGTGAATAAGCCTTTTTCTTTTATGATGGCAGACAGAAGACAATGATCCCAAACTCAAACGCAATTTGTGCTTTGATTCTCTTGTTTATTTTGGTACATTAGCTAGGTTGTGCATAAAACAGAGAGTGCTTCTATACGGTCAAAATCGGGCTTACCTTTTTTGTGCGACTGATCGAGGGTAAAGCATGATATCAAGGATCGGCTTCGATTTATATCAAACTATGGTGCAGGGTTAGGTTGTCAAGCTCGAGACCATGAGACCGATTGAGATCGAGACTGACCAAAAGCGAGACCGAATGAGATCGATCAAGATCGGGACCAAATAAGATAGAGATCGAGGGAAGCTTACTGGGTCAAATAACGGAAAGACGAAATATCCGCAATCGGGCGAGGATCACAGCGTAAATCCTGGCACGTATCAAGAAGAGACCGATTAATTAACCAATCATGAGATTTCTTACTGTAGTTAGAATTGTACCAAGAAAAGGACTCCCCTACTATATAAAGGGGGTCTGACCATTTATAAACATCATCATATTCACGTTACATAAAGCAATATATTCTTTTTCTCTCAAGCTCTCAATAGTTCTGTCGCTTTGAT